GTGTGTGTGTGTGTGTGTGTGTGTGTGTGTGTGTGTGTGTGTGTTTTACTAATTTGAGTCTTGAGTCTCTCTGGCCTTAAAAAGTCCTTTATAAAGGTGACATTAGATCACGCTTATGAAATAACGTTTAAAGTACAGCCCATGATTCTTAAGTGTATCAGTCTGCCCTCAGTGCGATCTTCCTTTTTTTTTTGTACAGACAATTTCCATAGCAAAGCTAATTAAGGACTGATGTTGTACTTGCAGTAAAGGGGGAAGACATTTAGTTTCTTTTTTAAAATGATGATCATTCACGATGCAAATCACTTTATAATAAACCTAAAATAGCCCACACATACAAAAAATGGGTTAATCCACATTCCAGGAAAAAAAAGAGCTGTTTTAAAACATTCTTTCAGCTCTCGCCACAAAAAGAAATAATTCTATATCAAACACAGTGGATGCACTTTGGTATAAGGCGCTGGATTCTTTTTCAAGGACATTTTTTTTTTGTTTTAGATGTTTGCTTGCTCTCTCTCTCAAACGCACTTCTATTATCAGACCTTTATTCAAATGTGTTAAGTCGTCCACAGGCTCTGCAGTAGCCTGATAACAAGGAGTTCCGCAGGGCAACGGCTCAACACAAAGACCACTGCGTGAAGTCGACAGAAGTAAAGAGCTCCTAATTCTCTCAGAGGCACACATGAAACAAACATTATCTAATCTCATTCTTCTTCGTCTTTCAAAACCCACCCGCGCACAAACACACGTATGGTATACCTTCTGCTAGCACGACCGCTTATCTAAATGAGAACAGAAGGGTGCAAGGCGTGTCACTTCAGGAGGCAAACAAATAATTAACATCATGTTATTCCGACGGGGCTGAAACCCATTAAACAAAGTCATTTCACGGCCTTGAATGACGTGATGAGGGTTGACAAGGAATGCATCACATCGCAGCAGGGAAGAGGGGTCGGTTAAAAACAAGACCAAAAGTACAGCTTTGCAAAAAAAAAAAAAAAAAAAAAAAAAAAATTACATACAAATATTGCATTCAAAACAAGCCCATTAGCAATGTCACAAAAAAAAGTCCCCGGCTGTATCCAAGTGTTGGTTGGATAGACCCAGTGCGGGACACCAATCACGCTGTACCTCCTTTCCTGCTGCGGACAGTGTTTGGCTGCACTTGGGAGCTCAGAGCAGGATGGCTGAAGGCCGCGCTGGGCTCAAACGGATAACAGTCACTGGGGTCACATGTCCCTGCAGGTCCACGGATCCCCGGAGAGCCAGGAGGACCCTGAGAAGTTGCCCCGGGAAGGCCTTCATTTAAAGAAAAAAAGGAAGCATAGTTAATTATTAGGGTTCCCACGAAGAACATTTTAAGGTAATTTAAAAAAGTTTAACTGCCTGGCACACGAGCCACATACTTAAGTCTGTAAACGACGCCTCTGGCTAGCGTGTACCAAGGGTAGCAACATGCTTTTGCCATTTCATCCTGGTTAGCAATTATTGCTTCATCGGCTTATTATCTTAATTGGGATCCATTTGTCTAAATGCCAGCTGCAGTTGCGACAGGAGAAACATTTCCAGACTCTATAGAAAAGCAGATATTCATATGCCATGTTACTAGGCAACACTGTGTCGTGGAAATGTAATCCAAACAGCTCTTTGTATTTTGTAAAATATGCAGTGGCCTACACAGACCACACACACACTCATGCAAAGATCTGGCTGTTACTTCCCTCTATTTTTCAAAGCATGGCTCAGTGTAAGCCTTCAATTATAGCATCCATGTCATAAGCAGGATGCTCACATCATATTATGGAGCGTTAGCCCAAAACAAGGATCACACATCTTCCCACGTCTTCCCCAATCCCAACCGAAAACACAACTTGGCCTTTTCATCAACCCCTGCCATCCATCTCCTGCCTAACAGCTTGCACCAAACTGCAGCTCCGCTTGTTATCTTGTCACCATCCGCACAAATGTGTGCCTGAAATGTGTGGCGGACAGCGTAGGCAACTACGACAACGGCTGATTTAAACCTGAAATGTAGTTAGTGTAGTGCTTCAGTAACGTACCATGACGACGTCACGAGGCACTTCACACGATTTACATGACTTGCGGATCAGCAGGTCATACAATTTGTAATTCAAACGAAACACCGTGGAAAAATACACCTGTAAAGTACTGCATTTCGCCATGTGAGGCTAGTTAGCAAGACCCTAGCTCACTGAGCCTCAAGATCGAAAGTGTTTATAAACATCGCAACAATTGGGAAACTGTGCCCAGTCATCAACCCACCATGTTCGCCTCCAATCACATGCTCGCTCACTCACTCCCCGTCATGCTCAGTTGCACGATTTTGCCCTTGATTCGTTCATACGATCACATTCCGATACCTTCGAGGCCTCGCAGACAGTCAAGAGGTGGTAAAACTCGATCACTAATTCGCAACAGCAGTAATAGTGCAAAACTACAAAATATTAGAGAAGTCAATATATGTATATAGTGTAGCAAACCTGCAGCTGTTATGTGGATTGTTGTTGAGGACATGTATGATCAGGTATTGGCGATTTTGAGTCATGGGGTGGGGCCAGTGGAAGGAGGAAGATCGTTGACAGTTGACAGGAACGCTAGTTTGAAGTTTTCCGTGGCGAAATTAAACGTTCATTTTTACAACAAACAGTTTATCGAGCGATAACTGCGTGTCTTTGTTCCATAGTCCAAGCAGACGCGACGGTACATTGTCTTTTCACTTTTTCAGCACTGAGGCACCATTGCTAGTTTGTTGGGTGAACCCACCACCTCTTAATTTCTGCGAGATGTCTGGGTTGTTGTTAAAACACTTGTTTGGTGATTAATCAACCTCACACCATAAGCGTCACTGCGGTCTAAATTAAGTAGGTGTTCAAAATGAACAGTGCAGTCGATGAAATCGTACTAAAAGTAGTTGCCTTGAGTTACATTGTTGAATTTCAAAGTATTTGACTAGTGTAGGAGGTCTGTGCAGTGTCAATACTTCTGGATTACTTTCCTGTTATGTCGGTGATAATGCTGTGACAAAGTGGCGCCCAGTCGAGTGTCTGCCCCACCTATCATCCAAAGTCAGCCGGGATAAGCGCCTGCTTATCCGTGACTCTAATGAGGACAACTGTGATGGAAAACGGATAAAGTGCTAAAGGGAATGGAACCTGATACGTATATACGCGCGATCCCCAGCCTGAGGGGGTGATTGCGTCCTTCACTTGACAAAATTCACCAGCGCTTATTCTCTTTAAAGTAACTTTAGTCTTGTTGAACATGAATCCATGTGAGATTACTGCACGTGGTTCCCCGGAAAGCTTGCCTTGAAACAGCTGTTCTTTCCACAGGGAGCAAGCGGTACGCTTCCTTTAGCCCTGCACATAAATTGTGCACTTACGTGGATGAGATGAACGGCATTAAGGTCAGTCATAACTTTGCTGTCACAGGCTGAAAACCAAAGGGGCCTTGCCCACTTGTCATTGCCCCATCACGCCGATGGGGATGCTATTATTCACTTCATGAGTGGAGGGGATAAGCTGACATCTTGTGATGCGATCTCGGGGCTTCTGTTTCGGAGCAACATTAAATTTGTTGTTTTTTACTCTGGCATCCCTTCACTGGCTCCCTATACATTTTAGAGTTCTTTTCAAGATCCTATTATTTGTTTTCAAATCTTTAAATGACCTTGCGCCACCTCACCTCTCTGAGCTCATCCGCCCCTGCACACCTGCCCGACGCCTCAGGTCTGCGGACCAGACATTATTAGAAGTACCAAGAACCAAACGGAGGCTCAGAGGGGATCGAGCCTTTTCTGTTGCTGGTCCCTCTCTCTGGAATGACCTCCCACTGAACATTCGGCAAGCCTCCTCGCTGCCCATCTTCAAAACCCGCCTCAAAACTCACTTGTATTCTTTGGCATTTGACTCAGCATGACTTAGATTTGCTCTTGGTTTTGCTGTTCGGTGCTTTCTACCATCTTTATTACCGATTTGCTTTACTGTTTGTTGTATATGTTGAATTGCTCCATGTACAGCACTTTGTATGCAGCGATGGCTGTTTGAAAGTGCTCTATAAATACAGTTGAGTTGAGTTGAGTTGAGAAGTACGAAGAACTAAACGGAGGCTCAGAGGGGATCGAGCCTTTTCCGTTGCTGGTCCCTCTCTCTGGAATGACCTCCCACTGATCATTCGTCAAGCCCCCTCGCTTTAAAACCCGCCTCATAACTCACTTGTATTCTTTGGCATTTGACTCAGCATGACTCAGATTTGATCTTCGTTTTACTGTTTGGTGCCTTCTACCATCTTTGTGACTGATTTATTGCTGTTGAAAGTAGCAGGTTTGAAGGCTTACAATTCCTGAAAAGGCAATTTCCTTGATTCTCTCGATGGCATTTCAAATTAACCTAGTGTATATCCGTTACGTGAAGCTGCATGGTTTGTTTTAAAATGTGATGTAACTATGCAATGTTTCATTGTCTTGTGTATTGGAAGTCAGGTGAGAGAGTGAGAGAAAAAGAACAGGTGCTCAGGAAGACTGAAAAAAAGTTTGCTTAAATGTGTTTATTTGTGTTTCAATACATTGAAATGTGTTTGAAGGTTGTGGGAGTGGTAAAAGTATTTTTTTAAAAAATGAATTAATATGGTCTCTCAACATTGCAGATTCTCACCGATTGCGGATGGGTCCGGAATGTATCAACCACAATAAATAGGGGTTCATGGTAACAAGGCATGAAAATATAGTTATCCATATTCAGTCTCATTTGAACTCAAATGGAAATAACTCCACTATGCTCCTCAGCTAATGCACTGACGGAACAGTGTGCGTGCGCAGCATGAGAGGCATTCATCAAAGGGTTGCTGCTGACAACAGCTCAATGTTGAGGAAAGTGGTGAGGCTGAATCAACACACTTCCGCTTAGGGGCAACACTGAGAGCAATTGATTAATAGATGGCCAGCATTGCGGAGCAAAGGGACGCTGCAGAGTTGATATCTTTGCATACGATATTGAAAAAAACATTGGGCCCCACTTTTTTGGGAAGACTTTCTACAAGATGTTGGAGTGTCTGAGGGACTTGGGGTCTGATGGCTCACCCTCTCTGGTCAAGGAAATTCCAAAAATGTTTGATGAGGTTGTGGCCCCTGTAGTTTCTATACATCTGAATCGTTCTAGCATGTGTTTATAGCACTTGTTTTGTGTACTTGGGCACAAATAGTTTTGGTAAGAGGAACAATTAATGTTCAAGGAGTCTATTGAACTCGTGAAGGGTATAATTGGTTGTTCCAACAATTTCAAATCAACGGGCCCAGATTTCACATAAAAGTAAATTTAAGAGATTAAGATATCCCTTTATTTGTCCCGCAATGGGGAAATTTGCGAGTAAATTGTGGCGATTGCATCAGTATACATACATTATATGCCATGGTGCAATAAAGGCTCGGAAACAATGTTATATCCATCCATCCATCCATCCATCCATCCATCCATCCATGCATCCATCCATCCATGATGTGTTCAGCTTATCTTCACAAGACTCGTGTGCATACTGGAGGCTATCCCACTGTCTACGGGCAGTAAGCGAGGCACACCCTAAACTGGTTGCCAGCCAATCGCAGGGCACACATAGACAATGAACAACCATTCACACTCAGTCACACCGAAGGACAATTTCGAGTTAACAATGAACCTACCATGCATGTTTTTGCAATGTGGGAGGACACCGGAGTACCCAGAGAAAACTCACACAGGCACAGGGAGAACATACAAACTCCACACAGGAAGACTGGAGCCCAGAATCGAACCTGCAACCTTTGCACTGTGAGGCGGACGTGCTAACCCGTCGATCACTGTGCCACAACAATGATAAAGTGCATATAAATAGTTTCTGCAAGCTTTGTTTGTAAAAGTCTTACCTGGTGGTCCCATAGGTCCTGGATCACCTGGTAGGCCGAGACCAACCTGACCTCTTTCTCCTTTTTGCCCCCTGTAGCCTGTGGAAAAATCCCACAAAGTCTCATTGTACAAATGACTGAAATGCTGACAGTGCAGAGTCATGTGTACATGAACCATTTTTAGTTAGTAATGTTAGCAGAAATGCCACGACAAGGTCTTATCCAAGGAGATTCAAGGTGGCAATACACTTCTGACACCTTCATATCTATCCAGGGAATTCTACGCATTAGCTCCTGGATGCTATAAATAACACCCGAGTGACGACAATGTCAAATAGCAGCTCTGTGATAATTTGGAGTGAAGCAGCTTTGCAAGTTGACATACAAACAGGCTACTCTGTTCCCACCGTCGGTCCCCTACCTTGAATAATAAAAGACATACTGACATGCCGTCAAAAAGTGGAAATCATCAAAGGAGCCATCTGTGCGTTAGGCAACGACAGCGACACAGGCGCAAAGCTTTCAACATTCCACAACAGAGCAGAGGCTGATCAGATTGGAAAACGATCAAAGGCGGATTCACTCGACAAACACAATTAGATGCAACACTTTCCAAGGGACGAAATAAATATATACGCAATTACTGGGCCAAGAGAGTTAACCTGAATGCTCTCTGAATCTGAATCAAATATGCCAAAACAAGCAGTTAAGTAGTCAAGCACAAGCTCACTTTGAAACATTAGTTGGAAATCGTACAAAAAGTTCAGTACTTTATTACACAAAAAATAATGTTTACCCTGTCAATCCTACAGTATATTGTACACCGTATGTATTTTGCTAGTTAGTCGCTCAAGTCAGTGTTCAATAACCTCAAAATTATGTTGAACAAAACACATTGGAGGTGGTTGACGTGTGTGTACCGAATTTTACGGACGAGAAGCCGCGAAGTGCAGCTGATGACAGGTGCTAGTTCTGGAAGACAGCATTTCTGACCATGAAGTGACATCCGCTGCCACGGAATTATGTGCACTGTTGCCTGATGAAGCTCGTCGGCGAATTTCCCTCTTGTGACATCAAGAGTGCCTGAGAAAGGTTCTCGGATGCCATTGTATAACTCGCTACATTCAGCATTGTTTGGGGATAATAAGTGTCTACTGATGTTTAAGGTAAATTTAAAAAAAATGCGTCTGTGACCTCTTTATTTGCAAATATTCCATGTAATAACATGAATCCCCATGGCTATTAATATGAAGCAGCCAATGTATGTCCAAAACACTTTTTATGGCTAACTGTAACTGTTGCAGCTTTTAATCAGATGCACATTGTAGTGCGGAAAGTACGGTATGTTCAAGGAAACCTTCCCACACCACACCACACTCCGGAGACATAGACAGAGCAAGGTGTTGATAAACTAAGTAATCCCCACAAAAATGTCAGCATATTGTACTCGGTGTTGGTAAATACTTGAGGGAATGAATAGCTGACGCTATTAACAGCAAACAAGCTGGACTGTTTAGCAATTGTGGTTTAACAAAACATCCTCTAATTCTGGGGTGGGAAACCTATGTAATTCCTCCTTGGTGGTACAAAGCCCCAAAACATTTAGTCCAGAAATGATAATAATACTTAATAATAAATATTAGTTTGCTCTCCCCATTATGTTTTTTTTTTCCCTGAATTTGGTCGAGCCCTCGGAGGAAATGGCCCCTGACAGGAAACAGGTTGCGCACCCCACCTTCAAAACTCCATGCACAGTCATTCATTCTTTACCCTTTTCAAGCAACAAGCATGCTAGAATGTGTGAATATTCCCCCCCAAGAGGCCCTTGAAGTAATGGAGTCAGGACCAGCAGAAGCATGGTGTGCATCTTGTGTGCGCTGACAGGAGCATCAAGCGTTGTGGTGCCTGGCCCAAAGGAGAAACGCTTCAACGCTTACGTGTCACAGAATATCTCCGAAAAAGGGCTTGCGATCGCTCTGAAAAGCGAGCGTGAACGAGAAAAAGGGCATGGGGGTTGGGGAGATGGTTCTTTGTTACAATAATGAGACTTCTTTTCAGCACTCACACAGCCTGGGGGATTTCGTTCGGTGGGAAGAGATACTCCGGAGGAGAGAATACTCTGAACCTTAAGCAAAAAGAAATACTGAGCAGTGCATTTGGGCAGTGAAGTAGATTGCTGCATTCAGATTGAACCAAAATTGCTATTGTCTCCACATTTGGCGGAGAAAAAAAAAATTGGCTTTGACTGGCAATAATGTACAAAATAGAGGTGTTACAGGGATTTCAGGCTTGATTGATTGGATCACAGTCCTGCACAGTTGAACAATACATTGACAGGAACATCTATTTATTCTATGCTTGGGGGGCAAAAAAAAGCTTTCTGTGAGCACAACGGAAGATTAAATGTTGTGGCTCCAGTTATTGCGAATTACTAGAGTACAAAATAGAATCACAGATTCAGTCAGCATCAAATGGACAGAACAAATACGGTAATACGGTCATACAAAATGATGGCATAACAACAAAATGTAGAATTCGAGTGGACCCTCCAAAGTCGAACATCACCTTTGGTACAGTTTGGAGTTCAACAAAATGTTTGGGGGAAAAATATGCGTGTATTCCTTCTCAGTGAGCATTTAAAGGATTAATTCAATAAGTGGGGATAGTTTTAGATCATTTCATTGAACAGTGCAGGATTACATTTTTAAATACCTGTATGGCAGTTAGGAATGTTTAAATGCAACCAAAACATTTCCTGTTCACATTTCATCTGGCAGGTTTTATGATGGTTTTTGTTTGCACTTGGGACAAAGAATTTACTTAATATAATTGCCTATGGGAAAAAAACCTGTGTGTGTGTGTGTGTGTGTGTGTGTGTGTGTGCGGAATGAGGGCTGCGACAACTTGGAAGTCAACCAGAATCACAGAACATGTTTGACGTTGAGGATTCCATTTCCTTTAAATGTGTGGGTCCACAAAGTGATGGCGTGGTTGATGTATGCCGAGAATGATCCAAAAATAAAACAAAATATAATTGTGGAATAAAGTGAAGGCAAAGAAATGGATGGTATTTTGCCTGCACCCGTATAGCAGGCAGTCTGAGGCCATTAGAAATCAAACCAGAGGCAGAAAGAGAAAATGGACTGTACATTTAACACGAGGCTTATTTTTCTCCATAACAATTCATTTTGGCAGAGAGGAAGAAAAGGCAAATTGGATGTTCCAGAGGAGCACAGTCTCCAGCAGAGGATGACGAGAAATAATGAGGAAATATTACTCCCAAAACTCTCTCCCCAGATGAGTGGAGTCAACAAAGAAAGAATTAGGAAGTTGTTGAATTTTTGATTTACCAAGGGAGATAGCTTTCCTCTTCCTTCTCAGTAAATATTTATTGCAAGGCTGCATTAAGACCACCCTATAAAACACTCCCTTGCACAGCACAGAAAATAAAACAAGTAACCAAAAATCCAGGAGCTGTGTAACGGAAGGCATCAACACAGCACACATATTTATAGTGTGGTTTTTAGTTGCCTACATTAGTTGTATTATTCATGAATGGGAGCAGCAGCATTTCATATTATAGCTGTGTAAACATGTAGTGGTGTTGTGAGGTAGATGCAAAGCTCAGAGAAAAAAAAAACACTTGGAAGAATAAAGCCTGGGCAGTAGGATCACGAACAGTCAGTCCACCCTCTTTCCTGACAACACCCACTCCCAACCCCGCCTCAGATTGAGGCATCAATAATGAGACTGCTTTCTCGTATGCGCTGATAAAACTCTTAATCACAGTCAATTCTTCATTTGTCTTCATATTTCCCAGAGAGTCGCCGTGCGCCACGCACTCCTGGCCTGTTTCCTCAGCTGCCCGCCCCTCAGTCTAAAGAGAAAAACATCCCCACAAAATGTAAACGGTATCCTTCTGCACATCGGCGGCCTGCTGCAGATCTAAATGTAATCTCTCAATCGGCCGCGTGTCAGCCATTTTATCTTCACATTTACAACGACAGACTGCTCGAGATCACCTCATTATGTAGATGTGTGTGTGTGTGTGTGTGTGTGTGTGTGTGGAATGTTATGTATTTAAATAGGAACACTGATGATGATGACAAAATGGGGTCTACACCAATGAACGTCTGCTCACTGGCCAAAACATTATGTACAGCTGTACAATGTAACTGAGGAATAATACACCACGTTGTGGGGCAATACGGCCAGCTGTTTTCCAGGCGTGATTGCCCCCGCTTGGCCCAAATAAAAAATAAAATCCTCAATCCGTATCAAAATGTAATGGGGCTTTCCTTTGCTTCCTGCACTAAATGTTGGAAATTAATTGACTTGATTTGGTACTTATTCACTAACTCAATTCTTTACTGTAGTCTAGCACTGCTTTGAACTGCAAAGTGTCCTTTATATTTGACTCCCGCCATAACCGTCGTATAAGGAACGTGTCTCAGGAATATACGGTATTGTTCAACAAACATTGCAAATGACAGTGCAATCACAGAAATACATATATTTGCATAATTTATGTCTTACTAGATTCAACAGTTCATTTTGATGGCTCTTGAGAATTGTATATACAGTGGAGATTTAAAAAAAATCGATACAGGGATTTTTTTTTTTTTTTGGAAGGGGGGGGGATTCTGACTGGATGCCAATCCTCATTTTTCAACAATTGCAGGGGGTAATTTTTTCCCCCCATTCCATTTCCGATAGCTGTCATGTGATTTTTTTTGATTAGAATAACTGCGAGAGCAACATCATCTGGTTTACTTTAAGTGGTTTCCTGGTTTCCGTTAAGTGCTCCTTGTTCGCGCTTTCCACAATGCGAACACTACAATTTTCAGCGATGACTCCTGCATGACAACCGATACGGAAACTACCAAACTTTCATTCACAGCCAGCGAGCACCTCACTGTTTTAAAAACATCATTAAAACCAGCTGATAAATAAAAAGATCAATTTAATTGATGAGACTGAATCGAAATCCAGAGTGGACACACGCTTGATTATTTGTGACAGGTTATTTAGTCATATGAAAACAAACCTTTTGTCTTCCATCTTGTTAAATGGGTGTTATAAAACTATCGACAGAGCTAGCACAATGTTGAAAGAAAGCCTTTTGGTAGAGTACTAAATATCACATCTCTATTGTTGGCATTGCATCATATCATACTATGCAACGTCGCATCAAAATTGGATTGAATCGAATCGCAAGTGGACCATGCCACCGGCAGTGTATTGAGAAACAGATCACACTGGCCTTAGTAACGGAGAGGCGCATCCCGACGGGATAAGGTTCGACAGCAACAATTAATACAATTTCAGTCGGTAGTTTTAAGATGTCACCGTTCAAGCATGTCACTTAGAATTGATGAAGTAAAATAAGGCGGTGTTTCACTGCAGATGTTCACCTTGGCCGACTGAGCTCATACCTTGAGGACCAGGAGAACCAGGCTCTCCTGGTGAGCCTGGCAAGCCATCCCTGCCAGGTTGTCCTGGAGGCCCTTGGACTTGTGAGGCTAAAATGCCTGCAGGCAGCTTCTGAAGCATGGCAGGGCTGGACCACTTTTCTACAAGACATGACACAGCAGATGTCAAAATGAAAAGCAGAATAACAAAAAATATAACAGAAAGTTTAATCTTTTGCAACCATTGTACCTTCAAAGATCCTTAATATTTCAGAACTGATGAGCATTTTGATTTCTTCCATGAAGTTGGGGTCGCCCTGTAGATAGAGATGATAATTAATTTTCCTCTAAGAGTGAAATGTCAGCTGTAGCATAGTTGAGATAATTGTTTTAACTACATGGAAATCAAGATGCATGTAATAATGATCTTCTCCAGAGTGTTTGCAGAAATGAGCACGTCAAAGATTATGCCAGGACGATTATGACTATTACTGTCAATCACCTTGAGGGATTTGGGGGAAATTCTGTTGTTTAAGTTTTTTAAACTTACGGCGTATTGACAATCACACCATTATAGGAATTGTATTTTCTTTAGGTTTTTCAAAAGTTTCACATATAGAAAACAACGTCAAAACAGCGCTGATGATTCCGCCCCCCCCCCCCCCCCCCCTCGAGTCAGATGGATCTTT